AGTAGTTGCCGGCGCGGGGATCTCATGTCGGAGTTTACTTTACCTGTAATTTGTATGAATTATTGTTTGTTAGTTTGGATTAAATTCTGAGATTTTATTCATTTACATTTTTATTTGTTAATTAAATTGTTGCCTATTCTTATGATTTAAATTTTATTTATAAGTTAGTTATTGTTTACTGTACTTAACATTTAGTTAATTAACCAAGACTATATTTATAGCCAAGTATTAAAAAGCTATTACGAGAAAATGAGTTTATTAAACCGTAATTCACATAACTATTCTCATAAAAACATCAAAAATATTCTTATAGCTCATATAAAACTTAATAATTGTCAAACAAACTATGATATTAAGCACACTACTACCCTGAACATAAAATCCTAGTTTACTTGCACTTAAAACCACTTAAGAATCTAGAAGTGCAGTTTACTACACGCTGTATTATACCCTGAATGGACAGGTATGTCAATAAAATCATAAGTGAACGCACCTTCATGTAGGGGGTAGGCAGCTATGTATATATTATCGTTCAACAGTTTACTGATACCAAACTCGTTGGCATCGTTGAGGTTAGGGCTAAAGCTTTTGCGTTTGAGTATAAACTCGACCACTTGTGCTCTCTGTGCCGTCGAGAAAAACTGCTCCTTTTGGGGCGGGATGTCGAACAGGTAGTCCTTATCCCGCGAGTAGGCGGCCGTGAATCGCATGGCGTGATCCTCGTCCTCGTCGAACAGCATCTTCCACGAGGTCTGTATGGTCTTCATCGGCATCTTCAGCTTCATCACCTCCGCGTACCGGGTCATCACGTGCCAGGGCGTGTAGATCTTGGCGAACACGTAGCCATACCCGCCGATGTCGTCCGCGTACTCCAGCTCCAGACCCTCTTCCCGCAGATTTGACTGACATTTTTCGTATCAATTAGTGCTTTGTATTCACAAGTAATGTGATCTCTCTCTCTCTCTCTCTCTCTCTCACTCACTCACTCACTCACTCACACACTAAAAATTAATGCATTTTGTATATTTTAATTAAAGTTTAAAACTTTTCCTTTTTGGTATATAATACATACAGTATTAATAGTATTTATAGTATTACCCTAACCTTTAATACTGTATTTACATTTATTATTGATATAACGGAATATTCCTTTTAACCTAAATTTCAAAGTTTATGGTCAGACAAGCAAAACAAGAAAATGTCATAACATTTGCGTTATTGCGGTCACAATAGGGAATCCTATCAATCAATTAAAAGTGTCTATTCAAACATTTCCTAAGAATATTAAAGACTTTAATTATACTGTATATTCAATATTAACTATTACACTAGTATTGTATACTGAACAGTATATGATAAACAAAATTCAATAAATGAAAAATAAAAATGGTCTGTTTGTCACAGAATCTAACAATTAATTGATCGATAAATCATTAAAAGTCTGTTCGTTTTTATCACAGAGTTTACTATTACTTAGAAAATGAATGCATTGTTTTTCAAAACACTAGTGATATAACTATAATATTTATGATATTAAATATTTTGTAATAATTATCAAAAGTACTGTATCTTTCAAAATAAAAATAAGTTCAATAGTATTGTTATGTACGGCATAATGTATAATATAATACACAAAATACACAAATATTAATATTATAAAAACTTTGTTTTAATAAACAATTTTATCATTTTCTATTGAATTGAATTTTCAACTATATTTGCATTTTATACACATTGAAAACTAAAAATAACTTGTTATAAATTATCCCCACCAAAGCACAAGAGTTTAATACTAAATCTTAAATCATAAGAAATTCATAATAAAACTTAAAAGTTTAACTAATACTAAACTTTCATACAAATTGACTAAATTAAATTTTATTCCCAGAATATTCCTCTAAAAACTCGCACATAAACAGCATTTCATACAAACAAATAGCAAACTCTTGCATAAAACACAAAAAACTGATAATTACTTCGAAGACATTGCGTGATTTGGCGGCAATGGACTCATCATTGGTCTTGATTTGGTTGGTCTTCATGTGAACCAAAACATAATCGACTCGTCGTTTGCCGTCCGAGAAGAAGTGGTTTCCCCTCGACTTCAACCGAATCCTCTCCATCTGTATTGTCTCGTGGAGTCGACTTTGTTGGCCGCCATTTGGCGTCAGCTTACCGTTGGCTACCTTTCCATTGCCTACCGTTAACCCTTTGTTATCCTCCGTTCCCTCTGAGAACCCACTGTCCGATAGGTTAGTGCTATTGATGTTACTATTGGCGCCATTATTAATGCATTTGCTTTTGTCCTTTGAATTTGCGTGATGTAGGGGTTCCGTGAGATCCCCGGTGTCGCCATTTATCACTTTATCTACTATTTTGCATAATAAAAGTAAGTTCAAGGTAAATAGAAATTTATTTTTATTAAGTAAACAGCTATGTAAATTTATTTATATTTAATCGAAGTAATTATTATATTAATTATATTAATTATATTAATTAATCTATTAATTGGAGAATATTCTGTCTACTTGTGCTTTAATTTATTTACAATTTTTCTTTTATAAATTCTTATGAATTTATTGTATGTTTAATGATTTAATGGAAATTTCGCATTCAAGATATTTTAATTAATACAAACAGTAATATCGGTAGTAAGATATTATTAGTTTTTAGATTCTCATATGAATGACTATATATTTTAAATAATACGAATGTAAATTCTGTAGTGAATTCATATGTATTTTAATCGATATTTGTACTCATATTTAATGCAAGAATATGTCATCAAAAACATAATTTTCATAACTTTTAAATGAATATATCTCATAAACTCCTATATGAATGTCAAGTCTTAAGATTCTCTAATTAATGATAGACATTTTTATAACTTGTTATAATTTATGGAAAAATAGTTTACAATTGAAGTTTTCATAAATTAAACATGAACAATCCTATCTAACAAAGTATTTTACCCAGCTCTTTAATGAGAAGTGTCTGTATTTAAAGTTAAATAATATACTTTAATTTTATCTAAGGTTTAACTAATCCTATTTCTCACAAAGTTTAATAATTAATATTGTTATATTATTTATTTTCCAATGCATAAATTAATTTCATTATTAATAAAATCTACATTTTATATTTTCATATAAGTATACGATATTATTATAAAAATTCTATAAACAAGTTTAGTCTGAGAGAGCGAAAATACAAATCAATTAATCATTATCTGTCATTATATTCTTAACACAAAGGAATATTTTATTCATTTAATTACTTATAGTAAATTTTATATTCAAATTCAAATGACTGTACAGTAGTAATTATTGTTATTATATTTCTTGTCAATAAACTTCATTAATAAATCTATAAATTAAAGACATTATTATGTAGATTAGTGCACATATACCATATAAAACACTTAACTCTAATCATACCCATTGATTACTATTATTGTCATGGTAATATGTAGTTATATAAAAATTTAGTTATATAATATAATAGTTAAGCTATTTAAGTCAATATTCAAACTTTTTTTAAGGACCTAACTAACTATCACTATTATCTACAGTTAAATACTAATCGTATAATAAGTATTACTACACATGATAAGCATAATACTGTACTGTACTACATAATGCGTGTATATATAATTGGCGATTCAACAAGTACTAAACACCTAATAACATGATTTAATTATATCACATGTTATGTCTATTATAAAAATAGATTATATGACAGACTCATTTTGATTAAAAATTTAATTAATTTTTTCGCAATAACATAAAAATAATAAAAGATACATAATATGTAATAATACTTTACAAGACAGCACATACAGTATATAAAACTAATTTTGAATCAACAGAATATATTGCAATAGAAAATTCAGCACCATGATACATGATCGCAACAGCTTTAACTTAATTAATACAAATTTAATAAATATTTTAGTAGTCATTATAAATGTGAATGTATTTAATAATCGATTTTCATGTAAAAAATAAAATTAAGTTAAATTTATTTCTAAAATACTTATCATAAAATGATTATTCAGTAAATATTGAAAATAGTGTAGATCCGTAATATTTCGCATAAATATCAAGCTCTAATGACAAGATTATTTATCATTCATATAAATATATAGATAATTCTTATAAATTAAATTGTGTTCCTGTAAAACTACTTTTAAAATAGTCTGTAAATATAGTAATAGGCTCAGGGTCTTGGATAATGGTTTTATCATAATAAAAAATAATAATAAATAAATAAAATTTCATAATTATGCAATAATAATAAAATGCATAAAATTGTGAAATATTAATAAAATCAAAAATCAATTCGCTTATCACTATTTTAGCAATGTTAATATTAGGCCTATTGCTAATTATATCTATTGTCTATTACCATAAGTCTAAATTAGACTCTAAATGAATGACATTATTTTACAGAAAATAAACTATTTTTAAATAACCATTAAATTATGATACACTTTATATCCGAGCTTAATTAGTTACCGGTAATCTAAAATTTATGGCTTATTACGAGTAATATTATAGGTAATAAAATAATTTTCATTTTGCAATTTATATAAATTGCTTATTCAAACAAAAATACAAAGAATACAAAGCAACAAAAATATAACTTGATTAAATTATATTTTATAGTTGATATAACGATGAACAATTAAAACTTAATGCTTATAATAAATAAATAATTTTAAAAATAAATAATGTTTAAAGTTTACAGTAACATTTGATATAATAGCGAATCATGTAAAAGGTTATCACCTATGTCAATTTAGTAATGTTACATAACTATTATGTAATACCATTTTTTAAAATTTGATTTTATTTAGGAATAATTACTTTGAACTTATAATAGCTTTTATATACTATAAATACATTATTTCATTAACAGTAGTATTTTTTAGATAATTTACAAATTCCTATTGATGTAATAAATATATAATTATCTAAAAATTAATATCTATTAAACTTGTTAAATACTCTGAAGTTTACAATATAAAATACAAATACAAACAAAATAATTTTTCTTATTAAAATAAGATATCATTAATGTTCTCTAAATTCTAAATAAGTATAGGTTATAACATTTACTATAATAGCTTATTTTATTTAGTAAAACTTTATTAATAAATAATTGTATAATCAGAATGGAGTAAGTATAATATTTGTATACACATATGATTGTTCAATTGAAAGTAAACATAGACTGATTGAATAAGAAAATAATAATAATATACAACTTATGCTATTAATAGAATTAACTTTCACCTACTTAATTGTATACAACACCTAAAATCAATATCTGACAAATAAACCTAATTATAACATTCCTAGTGAAATAATATTCACAAATATTATTAATAACATACAGCATATTGTAAAGTTTATAGAATATATATGTCATTGTGGGCCACTGTGTATCTGGAGATGTGGAAGAGGTATTCCGCGCGCATTACCTATCGCTGGGATTTGTCTAATTTCGATGCCGTCGAGGAATATCCCAGACCTGAGTATTTGGTTAGTATTCGTTGTCATGCAGTCATTGTGTAATTCACTGTGTGAAGCAATTGTTTTTTGTTCAATACATTAAGTTATAATTATTACATTAGATAGTTATTTATAGTTATAAATATTTATATTTCATTTCATAGTAGAATCATTATTTAAATTAAATCTTGTTTAAAATATTTCTAGTAAATATTTGTCTATTGAACATTTTGCAATAATTTTATAATTAGCATTTATTTGTAATTTATTTGTGTTTTGAAATAAGAGTATTAATAGAAACAAAACTTGCGAAACAAATAATTATATTCTACTAAACTATTGTATTTGACAAATGAATCAATGTAATTCATAGATTATTCAATCATTAATGAACTACTTATATCTCCCAATAAAAGGCCCGGCTATCAAACGTGAGCACAAAAAAGCTGAACGTAATCACCCGTATGTACGAGCCGTACATCCCATTCTGGCGCCGGCAGCTGCCGTACACCATACTGTCCGTATCCGTCGT